CCCAAACATTTAACAATAACACATCATTTAAATGAGGCATAAAAAGATTTTTTTTTTTTAAGGAAAGTAGATGCAGAACATCAGTTGAAATAACATTTATATATTCTTTCCAGAAATATACAATAACAATAAAATATTCAATTATTCTTGCAGTGAAGTTAGTTTTGTGTTCTTAGTATGGTATAAAATGTGTTGACAGTCTTAATTTATGATAGTCACATTAATGTGTTTGTGAATTCTTAGACAAAGGTTTAGTCAGGCAGTTGCTGGTTAATGCCTTCTATTGTGTGCATGGACAAGTTGGTGGATGCTGGCTGTTGTCTCTTCCATTGTGTGCATGTGTGTGCGTATGCACGGGTAGATCAAACTAGCCTCTGAAATTGTTGTGAGCCTTGAGAAGAAGTATGCTTTTATTTTTACATTCATAAGAAAATTCTAAATCTAATTTCTCATAGAGGTGTGAACTTTATGAATACAAGGTTTTCATTAGTTAGAAAATAATTTCACACTGGCTCACAAAAATCTTTTTCTCAAATTTGTGGGAATGGTGAAAGGAATTGTTGTTATTATTATTTTCTAAATGGTCCAAAAATAACATAAGTCTACAACTACATCCACAAGTATTTTGGCAGTATCTACCTTTGTAATAGGTGTTTATCAAACAAACCTTCTAATGGGATTTTATTTAATTGAATAATGTATATAGAATTTAATTCCTATAAGTTAGACCAGTGAGTCAAGTTCAAATTCTGAGCTTGTCTGCTGTATTCACTTTGGCACAAACACCCTTGAGTGGGAGTATGAGTCTATCCTTTCTCCCTCATAACTTTGGGTTAAATGGCAGGGTAGATGGCAATCAGTCTAAGAGAATTTCAAACTCTAAAGAAGGCAGTGAAAAAGCATTCATTCCCAAGAATGCATGACAATTCACAGATAATAAGGAAAAGGAATCCTGGAGGTATATTGGAAAACAAAGAAAAGAAATTTAAATTTTAAAAAAAAATGAAGTCTGTTTGTTTGAATTCCATGTTTTATGTCCATTTCCATTTTATTTTAACCCTGGACTAACATGATTCTTCCTAATATTGTGGAACAAACAATATTCAGAAGACATGAAATGATAATATGTTCCATTCCCGCAACTCTCTACAAGAGATGGTGCTAGCAAGTTTTGCATTAACTTAATAAATCAATCTTATAATATTTAGGACAATATGACCCACATAGACTTCAATATTCTTAATTAAACCATTTCATATTTAGTGATAAATGTCCCATGCAGATATCACTATGCTGAGTTAAATGTCTTCAAATAATACTGTATATTTTATCATAAATAATGAAAAAGTATTTTGAAGAATTTAATCTTAAAAAAGGTAGTGAGTGTAAAATTCTAATTGTACAATGATAACAGGTTGAGAGGAATCAGTTAAGATCTCATTGGTCATCCAAAGACGAACAAATTCTCTTTTTGATAGTTATAAAAAAAATCATTTTATACCAGGCAGCGTTTAGTCATATTTATTAGTAAAATTTATTTGATAAGGAAGAAAGGAAAAACATGTTAGTCTCTTGTGATTATTGCTTTTGTTACTTGGGATTTTCACATTTTAATTATTATTAACAATTGTTTAAGAACGATGTAAACATGTATAGAACTTGTTGTTTTGTTGGTTTCATTCTCCCTCATAAATGTTAAAAGCAGACAAAGACTGCTCTGAACTCGTGAAAGCTGTTTGGCTTGTTGGAATGTGAGAAAATATTTCAAGGCTGAACAGACGTTAACAAAAGTCAATTGATGAGATATATACATGCTACACATCACAAAAGATGGATGTTTTATTTTTAGCTTAATTTATTTTACTGGAATTCATAGGTCTTGAATAGGAAGAAGGGTGTTTCCTATAACTTGATTTAACAAAGGCAAGTGCATTGTCAGTTTCACTGAATCTCTAATCCCTTGAGTCTTTAGTTTAATGACATTTCTTGATTGCTGATGAGAGATAATAAAAGGAGTGTCCTGTTCACTGTAAAGTCAATTTGTAAATTACAACACTCAGTATCAGAAAATATGTCAGCTAAAATGATACTTTTGAAATTTATATAAGAATGCAATTAGGCTGTATGACCATTATTTTTTAAATTACCATTATCTAATACATGCTATGGATAGACATTTGTGATGTAATGGATATTGGCTTGGAATGAGAAATTTGTGTACAAATTTTAAATTCCATTCAGCGTTGTTACATTGGCTTACATGCAAATACCCTTGGGAAAGTTATGAATACATTGCTACTCCATCTATGAGTTGGCTAGCAGGACAGACTTGGTCCAGTAGCCTTGGTTGGCAACTAGTCTACAGCAGAAAGAAACAGCACCCTACTGTGAGAAAATCTTCTGCCTGGACATTCATGAATCAAAAGAGAGATGATTACCCAAGCATGTATCACATGGCACTTAACTGACAGACTGAATAGATGCAAAAAACGGTAAATATAGACTAAATACAATTATTACTAGTATTTCTTTCATCTTACTTTCAATTGTTTTTATTACAACTGTTTAGTCTTTCACTCTACAGCCACCGATTTAACAGTATAGAGCAGAAATGAAAAATAGTCTCATGGTGAGACTTAAATTAACATTCCGTTGCTATGAAAAACCAGTTTAACTGGTGACTGAGCTACAAGAGCTGTATAGCTGGCAAAAGAAAAAAAATATGATTATATATACAGACTGAGTGGAACAAAACTTCCTTCTATTTAAAATTGTTAATAACTTTATTAATTATTGGTTGAGTTTCATAAAACCCGTTTTTATTTTGAACATTAATGGTAGAAGTACAATACATTGTTAAAGTTTTACATAGGCACCAGATTTGTTCACTAGTGTTTGTAATTGTCTTGTTAAATCATTGACTGACTTTATCATTTCCTGTGCCTTTTGCAGATTTTCTTCCACTCTGTATGTTGAAGGGCAACAATATTTATCAGCTTGGAATGACAATGTCTGAAGGTCTTGGCATCTACTGAAACACAAGGTCCATACACACTGTGCCGCCATCTCTGCACTTGTATCACAGACTGTCACACTTTGTAACGGGATGCTCATGCAGTGTCAGATTTTGTGCCATTCTGGCCTACACTTGTCATTCTGAAATAAAAACAGAAATTAGCAATGAAATTCTCCCACTTTAGGGATCACAGTATATTTTGTTTCATGCAAATGTTGTGAAATTAACAAAAGTTATAATTAATTTTCAATCGGAACTTTCTTTCCACCCACCTTTTATATAGTGTTTGCGTGTGTGTTACAGGCACACTCTTGCCCAAAAGATATTTTTAAAAAGTTGTCTGTGATGAATTGTCATGACTAAGGTCATTTATCATTAGCAACAATACTTTTGGTAATATGAAACTTCCAATTTTGATGTTGAAGGACAACCGCTTCTTTGAGTATCTGCCACAGATCCTGTACCCATCAGATTGGAATGACAATTTCTGATCGTTTTAGCATCTATTTAAGCATGAGGTCTATGAACACTGTGCCACCATTTCTGCACTTGTATCACAGACTGCTACACTTTGCATTGGGATGCTAGCTGAACACGATCATGCAGTGTCAGGTGTTGAGCCATTCTGGCCTACACGCGTCACTCTTAAATAAATACAGAAATTAGCAATGAAATTCTACCACTTTAGGGATTGATTGATCATAACATATTTTATGCCATGCAAAGTTATATGTAATTTTCAATCGGAAGTTTCTTTCCACCCATCCTCTGTGTGTGTGTGTGTGTATATATATATATATATATATATATATATATATATATATATATATATATATATATATATATATATAAACAGATTTCTAGTACTGCCAAATCTAATCAGACATTTGAGGAATAAAAAATATGGGATCATATTAAACATAAGATACAACAATATCCACGTTTAAAACATAAAATGTAAGGTACCTTTCAATTTACACACTTTTTAAACACAATCGTTGGTAATCTAAAACGGAGTACTAACAAGAAAAATTTTTTTATTAATACTGTAATAAAACAGGATGGTAAGGGGGGTTGTTTTACCTCAAATCATGTAACCGTTCCCCAAATGAGGCCAACTTAAACTTCATCTCCGTTTATAATGCAAAGGGCCGGGCCTCACGATATGTTGATAATAACAGACTCCAAAATGTTGAGGTGGAGTCTGTTCCTAGCCCTGTGCAATACCGAAAAGAAATGGGAAGAATGCTCAGTCATACAAACACCAGAATTTAATAGATGTTCACCGATAGCAGAGGCATGAGTCTGCTAACACCCGGATGTCACAAACTCATGCTTGCGCACGCAGCCCAAAACATGTTGGGCAATTCTAACCTCAAGCCTCTGGATAAAACAATTTTTTTTTTTTTTCCCCCCTTACCATCCTGTTTTGTTACGGTATTAATAAAAAAATTTTTCTTGTTAGTACTCCGTTTTAGATTACCGACGATTGTGTTTGAAAATGTGTTGGTCAAAAGGTACCTTACATTTTATGTTTTAAACGTTGATATTGTTGTATCTTATGTTTAATATGATCCCATATTTTTTATTCCTCAAATATATATATATATATATATATAATCAAGAAAAAATCTTTAAAATCCATCTCAGTTATAATTTATTTCATGAATATTTTTATATTCAGCTCTTCAGACTGAAATTTTTCTAGAAATGGAATCAATCCGTCCAGACAGATAGAAAACAAAAAAGAGAAAGAATTCCAATCCATTATCAATTTCACCACCTGCACATCCAAGCTTGCAGCATCTGGTATTCCTTAAGTGGTCACCCATTTAGGTACTGACCAGACTTGATGTTGCTTAACTTTGGTGATCATACAAAAACCAGTGTTTCAAGATGATATTGCTGTAAGAGAAGCTAATTAAGATTAAATGGTTGAAAATGGCAGTAACTGATTTCTTTTTCTTTTTTTCTTTGTCTTTAGTCAAAGATGCCACTGACTACCAAGGGCGTTCATTCTTACATGCTCCTCAAGATGTTGGTGTTAATCTTAGATCAGAAGACCCGCCAGAGAAATGTTTCATTCCTAAGAAACTCATTCACACATGGACAGGTCACAGTAAAGGTATTTCTGCCATCCGTTGGTTTCCCAGAACATCTCATCTTATGCTCTCCTGCAGTATGGACTGCAAAGTTAAGGTAATTTTCATACACCATCATGTTCTTAGCACATAGTAGGACATTGATTTAAAAGTCTTATTATAAAATATTTGGCAAAGTTTTATGCTCATAAAAAAAAAAAACAGTGTGTCAAAAGGATGATTTTTCCCTTAACACCACTATTATTTTATGCTACCGTCACTCTCTGAGCAATGTTTGTTTTTAAAAGGTAATGATTAGAATTTGAATAAAACCCAAACATGAAAGCAAATTTATACATTTTCTTTCTTTCTTGAGAATTTACAACAGATATTAAACTATTAGATTGTTTAATAACAAGAATAATTTTATATTTACAATATTTAAAAAATGTGAACAAACTATTGCAATCTTTATCATTTACCAATTTATAAAGAAATATGAAAACAATTTACTAAATTATTAAAATATATGAACCAACTATAATGAAACCTTTATTTACCATTTTATAAAGTTTGAGTCAATTGGCAATTAGCCAATGTTTTGCCAACCATTCCAATAAACAATATAACAAATACATATTTATTATTTGACATTTTATAAAGTTCAAATCAATTGGCAATTCACTGATAGTTTGCCAACCATTCCCAATAACACCAGATTTGTCAATTGCTTTAGTCAAGGTGCTTAGTGTCCACACTTCATTTAAGATTTCTTCATCAGTTAGTACTTGGCTGACAATAAATAATCTTTTGACAGATTTTTTAGGTATTTTTTAAAAAAATTAGCCCCAATTTTAAAAAATTTTCAAAACAGTGTGGGAGAGCATGATGACCTCAAACTGCTGGAGTTTCATGCTTTGGATTTCTACTGATTATGCATTCTTGATGATCCAAGATCACAATTATAAAAAAAAACTATGGAAAATTAAACAAAAAATAATCTGAGATATTAAATAATTTGAGAAGTAAATGTATAATGTCCAGAAAAATTTTATTCAAATTTTCTTGTTCAATAGTTCATTGATAGTTTTATAAAATTATCAATAAAAACTTGTATTCATCATTTTTTTATAAAATGTTAAGTAATAAATATGGCATTATAGTTGGTATCTGTCTATATTTCTGAGATGAGGTATTATGTATATTATTTACATTATTCAGACTATTGACCTCATCTTTGTCATCATATTTATTACAACGTTTCAACCATTGTACACTCCAGCCTTCTTCAGGTGGTTGAAATGTCAAACTGAACCCTTTATTTCACTCACTAGGGTATAAACTATTTCTAGTTCCTTCCATGTTTAATGGATGTCAGTTAGCACATCTCCTGTTAATTTCCCTCTCAAAGATTCTCCAGTGATAAAGGCGTATTAGAACTCACACTATTTGGACCCAAATAGTGTCTAAATAATAGCTTAGGCAGTGGAGAACCACAGAGGGAAATTAACAGGAGATAACTGATAACTGACATCCATTAAATATGGCACATGGAACTAGAAACAGTCTACCCCAGTGAGCGAAATAAAGGGTTCAATTTTTATTTCAACCACCTGAAGAAGGCCGGAGCGCATAACGGTTAAAAAACATTGTAATAAATATGGCGACAAAGATGAGGACAATGGTCTGAATAATGTAAATAATTATAGTTGGTTCCCAGATTTAGAAAATTTTGTAAATTTTTTATAAATTTTCCAATAAAAAAAATTTCTTATTAAATTTCTTACTTTCTAAAATGATAAATAATAAATTTTATAAAATGGTAAATAATATCGCCTTGTATTTGGTTCGCATATTTTTATAATCTTGTATATAAACATTACCGAATCTTGGTCATATACAGTAATCGGTATTGACAGAAAAAAACATCATTTGAAACTGATTTTTTTGTGGGTACAAAAGTTAAACTTTGTCAAACTTTTATTCTCTGTTTTTAACATCCACTAATGAAGTGCATCGAGAGATATGGAAATTGTGTTTAAAAATAAACATTTCTTGTATAAAATAAATGCTTTTTTCATGATTTTGTTCTATTAAAAGTGTATAGTTTTGTTTGTTTTTCATTGTAACCCATAAAAAAACATGAAACTAAATTAATCAGACACATGGGAATAATGTGGTGACTTAGAAGTCTACCACATTATTCCCTTTGTGTTTTTAATTGTAACACTTAAAAAAAAAAAAAAAAAGCCATGAATCTAAAAATATTATCAGGTATAAAAATACACACAGCACATTAGTATTTTTGCCCAGACAAAGCAGATAGTGAAGCCAAGTAACTTGACATGCTTTTAATTCCACCATTAGTCAGAAGATCTCTGGAGATCTGTTGGACCCTGCTCTTTCAATGGCTGTTCCCAACTCCTTGATATTTGTAGGTGCAGGATCTTGCATGGGATTAGACCACTCCACCATGTATCATAAATGCTTGATTGTATTTATGTTGAACAAATGTTGTGGCCACACCATTCATTAAAAGTCTCTAGTCTCCCTCACTGAATAACTGGAACTGTGAGTCCCTGTGTCTGGTGACATGGTGCTAACAAGAACACCCAGGTGGATCTTCTGCTCTCATACCCCATGAAAGCTAAAGAACATTGAACTGATCTGCTTGGATATATATGTGGTAATTCCTACATTTAATGTGGATGTGATTTGAGATGGTGTTGCTTGCCTATTACTAATGACAATTCTAGTCAGACACCTATGTTCATGGTAATTAAAGATCCATTGATTGGGTGCTGCACTGTCTACAGTAGTTGGTCAGGCTTTCTATTAGATATCCTTGGTACACATATGGTTCTATAGATTGAAGGATATCTCCATAATTTTATAAATCATACACTCCTTCCATTTGGCACCCACAATCATATTGTGTTCAAAATCCTATATGTCCCTTTGCCATAAGCAGCCTAACCAGTGTTCAAGCGTATAAATTACTCTTTTTGAGTAAGTTTGCATCTACTTATCATTTCTCGGTTGTGTCTTTGGACAGAGTGCGCTCAGAGGTTTCTCTGTCAAAGGACAGAGAGGCAACTGAGGAAAATAATACTGAGAGGTGCCCATCCCTGGAGAACAGCTGCCCAAGGCTGCACCCTCCCATTGCACAAGAGGGAGGGATCAGTGCTTGCACCGAGGCCAGTGCAACCGACAGTTGCGGGGGCTGAGGGGAATTTTTGTTCCTGTCCCGGGTGTACACGCTCAGGTCCCCACCTAAAAATAGACCTTGTGTCACATCTCGTCCTAGTGGGGAGGGGGGGGTGACAGAGTAAATACCACGTGTTCTTTTAGACTCATCTGGTCATTTTCATGGCATCAAGCTGCAGTGGTTCAACCTATTTTTAACTTTGCATTTTGCTATCCCATTGCATTTATGAGTGATAAGGATCGGCCTTTATCCTAATCTTGATCTCATAAAGATTAATAGGTCGTTAAACATTAAACAAACAAATAAAATTATCCTAATCTCTTTAATTAGCTTACGGTCAAATCACGCTGAAAACACCAGTTCTCGTTCGATCACCGAAGTTAAGCATCGTAGAGCCAGGTCAGTACTTAGATGGGGGACTGCTTGGGAACACCTGGTACTGTAAGCCCCCAAAGTCCAACCCTTACCTCACAGTCGGTGGGGGGGTGTAAACGGTAGTGTCAGAGCTATGCCGCCTGGAACTTCGTTCCTGGTAGGGCCACCCAAGGCGGACAGGTCTGACACACACGCTGGCTAATAAGGGCTCTGGTGAAAATCCAAGGAACGTCTGCATCGGTAACAAGCGGCTTCTGGTCGTTCCTGTCTCTCTGCGTCTGTGGGAACCCCCCGGCAAGCAAGAACGTTATCCAGTAGGCCTGGGTACCCTACTTCTGTAATTTATCCCAAGAATCTTCTTCTCATAACAGGAAGAAGCCGGCTCAATCCGCCCAGGGTGAATGCTGCATCAGTACAGTACAGTAATCTCTTTAATTAGTATTCTGATGTAGATTTTCACTAGAATAAGCATCTAATTAAGATTATTATAGACAAAGACCTGCTTTTATCCCAGTCTTGTCTTCGACATGCACTCTGGAGGAAAGAAATCCTTCTCTTTCAATAGAAGTTATACACTTAAAGAAGGCCACAAAATGACTGGGATGTTTTACCAATTCAATCAACATAACAAATGAACTGGAAAAAAATTGAAATATTTTACCTTATTTATTTTCCATTTCCTGTTCACTGAATTCATTTCCAACTTTGTTTTTATTTCTTTATTCTTTGCCTAAAATAATTGACTTATATTTTAATAACAAGCTTCCATTAATCATAAATAACTGACCTACATTAATTTTGGGGGTAGTGATGAGTAGAGGAAACAAAAAGTTAGCAAGATGGACTAAATCTATAGAGACCAGACAATGACTTGCTCATCATCTTACATTTTAGTCAATGCCATTTGATTCTTTTGTCTTCTTTTTCCCTTTTCCTTTTCTTTTTCCCTTTTCTTTATTTTTGTTTTTTCATTTGTTTTTTTGTTTTTCAGTTTCTTTTGGAGGTTTTCTTCCTTTTTTGTTCTTTTTTCCTTTTTTGTTCTTTTATTTTTCTTTTTTCTCCTTTATTTTCATGATACCTATTTAGTGACATTTTCTGAATACATATAATAAATCCTGATAAACAAGTAAAAGATCTTCATTTTTGAATGTGTTACTTTGCTTACTGGTTGGTCCACAGCCTAAGCATGCCCACCAACATATTTTAAGATAAAATAGTCTTTGTCAATTAAAGAATTTTTAGAAACTTACATTTTTCTGTTATATTTTATCACATGATATGGCCAGTATGCTCTTTGAAGCATGAAATTAATTTTCTTTTTTAAATACCATGTTCCTTCAGAAGAGAGGCAAACATGGCTTTCTATAAATGATTTTTCTTATCTGTGGATTGACATGAATTCTTGGTGAAGATAGTCGAGTAGTTTCCCATTGCCTTCTCCATAGTTTTTAATTCAGTTTTCCTTCTGCTATGCTGTCTGTCATCCAAGCATAGAGAGCTCAGTTTACCCTGCTACTTAAAGCTGTAACTGGTGAGTAGGGAAGAGATGGATTCATGCCTTTCCCAAGAGCAATTAGTGTGAAAGTGAATGTAACAGACTCCATCAGAACTTAAGCTATGAAAATTTGGAACAAAAACTTAGGTTCTGAACATGTCTGAACTCCTATCCTATATCATGGCTCATGTAGCAACACTTGTCTCATGCGAGCTTGTTGTGTCATGTAGCAATGCCTTTGTAGCATTTTGGCTAGCAGACCACCAAGAGTCAAGCAGAATATAACCATTATCCTGGTTCCTACTTTTTATCCACACTTCAGATTTTCAACAAAATTCTTGGTATGAAATATTCGTCTAAATTTCTGGGTGGAAGAGTTATCATTATTTATGTGCAAACTGTTATCCATGTCTTTGTTGTCACTATCACAACACTTTAATCCATGGGACAATAGCCTAGTGGATAAAAGCATTGGTTTGTGAATTTGGTGACACTGAAATTGTAAGTTCAATCTCTGGGCAGGGTAGTGTGTACTTAGACTCAGTGGAGCTATAACTGAGCTGTACAAAAAATTAGAACTAAATACGATATCCCTAGACATGGGCAGTGAAATGAGAACAATCTACCCTTCACTATGGCTTTTTGATGTTCCTCCAACCTTACTTCTAGTGGGTGGCTGGTTTCAATAACTGGGTGGTACTAAAATAAGAACTAGACAAGATATCCCTAAACATGGAATGAGAACAGTCTACCCTTGTAGATTAAATGAAGAATTCAGTTCAAAATTCCCTGAAGGTTACCTGCATCAACAATCACCTGATGAAAGCCAGCAGGCACCATGGCTGAAATGTTATGATAGCATAATAGTCTGCATGTGAATAATTTTTAATGTCTAGCCATAAATTGTTGATATGAAATAGCAGAAAAAAGGGAAATAGCTTCTCTCATAAACTTTAAAAAAAAAAATCATTGTATTCTCTTCTTTTTGTTATTATTATTATTGTTGTTATATTCCATGCTAATAGGAATATATATTTGAAAACATGGTGGATAAAATAAGTAAAGGTTTATTGTAAAAACCAATACAATAAGAATAAAAGTAACAATTATGCACAAGGTTGTCACATGTCAATCCAGTAGTGAGTACTACTATCGCGTAAGTCTGAGTCGTAAACAGATCCCAGCTAGTCTCTGTAGTCCCTTGATTTACAGATACTTATAGGTAGTTACTACCTATAGTGTAGCCACTCACGGGGGTGACAGGTTATTCCATTACTTCAATTATCATACTGAAATTAATTTGGAATTTCATCTTAAAATGATTTTTTATGTCTGTACACAATAACTAAGTTTAGTCCTTCAACTTGTGAACCCAATTTCACATAATTTATTGAAAAATTGTTTAGAATTTGACTTTTTTTTTTTTTTTTTTTTTTTTTTTTCCTAGAGCTATAATTTTCAAAAACACACCTTAAACATTTAAAATAGTGATTATTGACAGTTCCTAACATTCCATTAAAAAAAAGTTTGTTTTTTTTGTTTTTTTTTGTGCAAGTTTAACTTGGCTTTATCTTTAAAGAATAAAAAATAATTTCATCATTTTATTGATTCTCCAGATTTGAACATTGTTCCTAAGAGAATTAGAATTTATACTTATTTTGAATAAAATATATTGTTTAAAATAGACAATTAAAACAGTAGTATCTTTGTTATAGAGAGAGTGCCTTGTCCTGCAAGTCCAAAGAAGTGTCTGTTCTGATTCCTCTCCAAAACTTTTACTGGACCCTGGCAGAAACTATTATTTAATAAAAGAAGGCTTCATCCTTTTTCACTCCATCTTTCACTTTCAGCATAAACTGATTTTAATAATTTCACATATTATTTTTGTCCTAAATGACTTCTTACAGATATGGGAAGTTTACAACCAGCGTCGATGTGTACGTACCTACTTTGGACACAAACAGGCTGTGAGAGATGTTTGTTTTAACAATGATGGTGCTAATTTCTTAAGCTGTGGCTATGACAGGTACTGTAAATTATGGGATACAGAAACTGGTAAGTTATTTTCATTATAAATAAAACCATTTTATTTCTGTTCAGCCAATTTAGTATTAGTCATTATTAAAATGTCATATTCCTCATATAACATGACTTTTCAGATAGATTGATACTTTCAGAGTCATTTGTAATGCTACTTTTTCTAAATTATTTATTTAATCATTTCACCCCCAAACAAGGCAATAAAGCCACTAAGTTTTTACGCCTATGCAGAGGATATAGTTGGCCCTGCTGTATCACTCAGTTAAATAGATTCAAAATTCAAGACACTAAAACCAAATTACGTCTTCTCCAAAAACTAGAAAAATTAAGTAAAAAAAAAAATAAAATGAAAAAAAAGTAACATATCTCTGTGAGCATCAAATTTTCCAAGCACTCTTTCCTCATTATGTGCCCTAAAAATTTCCACTCTGTCTTTCTGATTCTAACTATAAATGTTCTTTTTGTTTCCATTTTCTCTAAAACTTCTTTGTTACTCACATGTTCAATCCATGGTCTTCTTACCATCCTTCTGTAGAACCACAATTTTGTTGCTTCAAGTCTCTTCTTCATCTATAAGATGTTCCAACATTCACTGCCATACAGTATGACTGATATTACATTCAGTACTCTTTTCTCTGTTTTTAATTAAATTTTCCTCTTTCTTAATACTTTGCTCAGCTTCTGAGAAGCATCTTTCGCTATCCCAATGCACCTTCAGATTTTGGTGTTGCACTTACCATCCTCTGTTAAAATGCTCCCAGATACTGAAACTATCTAAATATGTATTATATAAAACTTGTCAGGCCATTTTTTTTATTCCTTACATATATGTAATTATGACTGTGTATGTATGTATGTACATTCTGTAGTATAATTGTCAACAGTTTCCTAACACATAAAGTTGTAAATCCTTGTGACTGAGGGTTTGAGCATACAGGCCTTGTTAAATTGTAAGCTCAGAAATAAATAGCTAGACATTTTATATATATATATATATATATATATATATATATATATATATATATATATATATATATATATGAATCATTCATACAAAAAGTAAATTGGTAAAGTTAATGATATAAATGGTGAAATCCTTTAGCTAACAAATTTTAAAGATGCATTAAACTACCAATCACTCAATGAATGTTATGATCATTGTTTTTTAAAATTGTAGACTGTATTAGGTCTTCTTTAAATACACAAGTACTTTCGATTGTACATTCAGTCATATTCAGGTATGGAAATTATTTTGTTTTTTGGTAAAATTCAGGTAGCATCCAAGACAAGAAAATATAATGTGAATCAAAGTATTTTTTTTTTTTTTTTTTAAATGTGTTATTGGTAACGGATACAAACTTTTGGAGTGTGCAGTCACAACGCTAAGGTAGAATTTTATTGAAAATTTAAGGGAGTGCATTTTTTACTAATATGGAAATTTGAGAATTTTTGTTGTAAGAGTTTATCAGTCAATGTGGCATGAACTAAATCGTTCAATAAATAGAGTAATGTCTCAGTTGTTATCCTGAAAATTTGCACGTCGAATCAGTTCTTTTAAATCAAATATGTGGTGTAGTTCAATTTATATTACAATGACTCATTCATACAAAAAGTAGATTAGTAAAGTTAATGATATAAATAATGATTTGTTAGCTAAGGAATGTCACCATTTTATATCATTAACTTAACTAATTTACTTTTGAATAACTGAATGAATATATATATATATATATAATATATATATATATATATAATAAAAAGATCAGCACCATATATATATATATATATATATATATATATATATATATATATATATATATATATTATTGGTAAAAGATTTTTGGTTTAGTATCCACCAATAGAGTTTGTTACCAGTATATACATGGCCTGAAGAGGACTGGACACTGAGCTTGCAACACTGAGTGGTGAGTTCAGTCAATTTGCTCCATATTTGGACTTGAAAGGCCATGTATGTCATGTGTTAGCTCAATTATATATGCTGGTCAGTGTGTCATTATTGGTAGCAAAGTCAGATATTTTTGGTTTATTGTGTTATATGACCGTGTTACTCATAATGCCCCATTCACCACCATGTATAAATAGTTGAGTTACCAGGCAACACACATGGCCTGAAGAGGACTGGCACCAAGACTTGTCTTTTTATATAGAAATCATTGAACTGAATTGTAGTGAGTTCAATATTGTCTTAAAAGGTGCTCCAAACTTTTGGACTTTTGCCATTTATTTTTGTTGTTTTTTTCAAAATTTCTTCATTCTGTCGGATTTATATCCATTTATTGTTATATATATATATATATATATATATATATATATAGAGAGAGAGAGTAAAAAAGATTATGGAAATAAAAAGGCAAGACAAGCTTTTACCATTCATGATTTAAAAAAAATAAATAAAAATAGCCAACTGCTTTCGCCCTCACTCAACAGAGCTGGAATCAAGGAAATAAATGTTACAATATGAAATGCATGTTTATGTATTAAAGATGGAACAATCCCATTGAAATAACATCAAACCTTAACAGACATTCTCTCTGTTTACAGGGGGAAGGTTATTTGGACCTGACATAGATTGTTTCTAATGCCTTCAAATCTAAGAAAGAATGAGCACAACTAAGGATGGTAAAAGAGTCAATGCTAAAATTTGGTGGTACAATTTGGATTATTTACAGAATGCTCAGCGATGACAGAACCAAATGTGTTGTTGACCATGTCACCAACTTGGAATGTACTATTCCTAATTTTCATAGGTACATGCTGATGTATTCTCGTGTCTAGCTGTAGAGTAGTTCAACCTATGTAGTCAGTTCCACAACTACATCTAAATTGATAAATGACATTTTTAATATCGTAAGGTTTAGAACGTCCTTTCAGGTAGACACACATGCTGGCCTGGTAGAAAAGACAACATGTACATTAGCTGAAAAATAACAATATTCAACTACAGAGCTAATCTGTTTGGCAAATTTTCCATTTCTTGAACCCAGACAAGACAGACAAACACAAATAAATAGGGCATTTAGTAACCATGCTCGGTTTAAGTTTAGAAATATTAGAGATTTTCTTATTCATAACCGACTTAATTACATCCAATGGGTACCCATTATTAGCTAAAGATTTGGCAATTATTTTTAACTCATCATCTAATTTAGATTTTAAGCAAATCATCAGAGCTCTATGTGTTAGAGTACTGATTAAGTTTTCTTTATATTTGTTAGGACAGAATGCAGTCCACCATATGTATAGTCCGGTAAAGGTTGGTTTGCAGTAAGTTGATGTGATGTAACCAGATGGCGCTCTAGTTACCAAAACATCCAAAAAAGATAAAGTGGAATTGTTTTCAATTTCCATTGTATAATTTAATGTTGGATGCATAGCATTAAGTGAAGAGAAAAATTTTGTAGCCTCCATTACATCCTCAAAGAGGCAAAATGTGTCATCAACATATCAATGATACATCAATGGTTTGGCAGTTCCAGAAAATAGATGATTTTCATGGAAACCAACAAAAATGTTTGCCAAAGTTGGTCTCAGGGCTGAACCCATAGACACTCCATCATTTGCCTATATATTGTGTCAGTGAAACTAAATTTTACAGATGTAACAGCAAATGTTATTAACTCAACAAATACATTTTTCAGAATGGCAAGTGGCGATATCTGGCTACAATATATAAAATCCAGTGCAGATATCAATTGTTTCTGAAATAGGGACACAGCTAAAAAGGTTTTTAATGTCAAACAAATGCATAAATTTATTAGTCAAATTAGAACTTTGAATATCTTTAGTATTATGAGAAAATGCAAAAGAGAATGAATCATTAGTAATCACCAGACCTGACAAAGGTTCAGGAGTTGTTGTACTTAATCATTGTGATTACATAGATGAAATGATGACGCTCTTCAATGATACATCAAAATTTATCAAATTAGGTCCAGTGGATGGTTATGATTCAACTGTGACATTGGAAAATAGATTCCAAAGAAAATTAGTCAGATGGGTAAAAAAGTGGCGTCCTCCCTTCTGACATAGCTAGTGAAATTAGGCCTTCAGGTTCTATTCATTCATATGGTTTGCCTAAAACCCATAAGGCAGGTACTTCACTAAGACCAATTCTTTCTATGGTGAGATCAGCTTCAACATAAGGTTGCTAAATGGATTGCCACATTATGTGCAACCTGTATTGGAACATTATAATAAATATTGCAAAAAAGATTTTTTTTTTTTTTTTTTTTTTTTTTTTTTTAATCATGAACAGTAAATCTTGTCATGCCTTTTTTATTTCCATAATAAAGTTCAGTACTTCTAAGAAAATTAAATATATATATATATATATATATATATATATATATATATATAGAGAGAGAGAGAGAGAGAGAAAGAGAATATTGGCTTTATGAAAAATCAACAAGTTTGGCAATCTCTTTTGAATTGTAATGATCTTTTTTATAAAAATTGTTTTAAAGTATCCTGTTACACTTCATTGAAACATGTCAATATTGAAAGCTATGTAGCCATTTTATAAGTTATCGATTATTTTGTTCCATTACTTTGCCAATGCCCATAAAACTAGAACACATACACACACACACACACACACACACATGTAGAATATACAATTAAAATAAAAAGAAGAATCTGCAATATCATTTAGGCTTCAGTTATTTCCCACCATAATTTAGCTTCCCTGTGCCTTTTCTATAAATATTTTGATAGTAATTGTTTTCATAAACTTTCCTCTTTGATATGTAGACTTTGAGTTTAAGTGCAGAACAAGATTGGCAGTTAGGTCTCATCCTTTTACAGTTAAAATGGCTAGATGTAACCGTCTTACTTATAGAACTCTCTTACCATTTCTTGCATTTCACTCAAGTTTGATCTTCAAAAAATTTAAATGTAATGCCAATTGTTATCTTCTGTCTTAATTCCTGTTCTTTTATTATTCTCCCTCCTTAATAATGTTTTGATTTGTCATATTCTCTTACACTCAGCAACCC